ACCAGCGTCTCAGAGCTATGACCAGTGTGCTGTACTATGCTAACTTGGATCGTAGGATCATTCATACCCATTACCCTCGAACAACTGGCACGCGAAAATGGAGTTTTACTCTCTGATCTCACTACACCATGCCCAGCAAGCTCGTCGCATCCACCACCTAATTTTCCAGGGCCGAACGCCGTCAAAGATCTTGGACAATGCGTGGTTTATGTGCTGGGGGTACAGATCAACACAGCAAGCTTTGCTATGTACACGTTCTCTCTAAGTGTATTATTTCAAGCGCTCCTTGTGGTATCAATAAGCTGTGCTGCAGACCATGGCAACTATCGGAAACGACTCCTGCTGTTCTTCGCCTTCACGGGCTCGATAGCGACCATGCTCTTCCTACCAGTTGTCCCCAAGGTATACCTTCTGGCGGCACTCCTAGCCATGATTTCAAATACTTGCTTCGGGGCAAGCTTTGTGCTACTCAACTCATTCCTACCGCTCATGGTCCGCCACCATCCAAGAACACAATATCACAGCCCAGATTTCACGCCAGACTTATCATCTACAATTTTGGAAAGTCAACCATCAGATGCTTCACTGAATGCCCCAGAAGACTTGCAAGACCCGAGTTCTCCTCTTCTATCACCAGCTCCAGACCCGACACGACCTTTGCCACCTGCCAAAAATCTCACATCTATCGAGTTACAGCTATCTACACAAATATCATCCACTGGCATTGGTATTGGTTACAGCGCAGGACTGTTTCTTCAATGTGTTTGTATTGTTATCGTCTTCGCTCTACATAGCACAACTTTCTCACTGCGACTGGCCTTATTTCTGGTTGGTGCATGGTGGTGCATCTTTACGATTCCTGCAGCACTGTGGCTCAGACCTCGACCCGGTCCTCCCTTGCCAGCGAATGCTAATGGAGCAAGAAAATCTTGGATTGCATACATCACCTATGCGTGGATGTCTCTTTGGAGGACTGTCAAACTTGCACGCCGCTTGAAGGACATCACCTTGTTCTTGGGAGCTTGGTTCCTCCTATCGGATGCCATTGCTACAGTCTCTGGCACGGCAGTCCTATATGCTAAAACTCAACTCCGTATGGACGCAGCATCCTTAGGATTCATAAACGTGATAGCAACAACAGCAGGCGTTCTGGGGGCCTTTTCGTGGGCCTATATTTCTCGTAAAGTTGGTTTACGACCCCATCAGACGATCCTAGCTTGTATCTGTATTTTCGAAGTCATCCCGCTATACGGCCTTTTGGGCTACCTCCCATTTGTGAAAAATTGGGGCGTGATTGGCCTTCAACAAGCTTGGGAGATGTATCCGCTCGGATTCGTCTATGGTTTCGTGCTTGGCGGTCTGAGCAGCTACTGTCGCTCACTATTTGGAGAGCTTATCCCACCAGGATCAGAAGCCGCTTTCTATGCCCTTTATGCCATCACAGACAAAGGCTCGAGCATATTTGGCCCGGCCATTGTAGGTGCCATTGTTGATCGAACTGGTGAAATCCGACCGGCGTTCTGGTTTCTGGCCGCACTTGTCGGCCTACCAGCGCCCTTGATCTACTTTGTAGACGTGGAGAGGGGCAAGGAAGAGGGCGTCAGATTAGCAGAGATTATTGAGGGTTTCAAGAGCGCTGAAGCTAGCGAATCACAAAGCTTGCATGAAGAGCAAGGACTCCTGGCTAACGAGAACGAGGATGGTGAATTGAGGAGATAGATTAGTCTGCATTTGTGGATATTTGGGTATGGTATTGGGTATCGGTGCACAGCGACGGAGTTGAGGGCTGGGTCTCTTGCAATCCTGATCGGATCATCATTTTGTTTTTGCTCGACTTTACTCGTGGTCATTCCTCTCATGGACATCTAATACAGCTGTGAACTTCACGTCCTCACTACATACTAACAAGTATTCATCTGTGAGCATTGCAATCCGAAGGCTGACTCTCGAGAACCAAGGGCCGCACTTTCAAGCACCCCAGAAAGCATGTCCCGAAGGCTAACGGTCATCATTCCCTTCATTTGAGAGATAACGGTAGCACATATTGATACTTCGTCACAAGCATTTCGTCCTTGGCATTTTTTTCTCCACCAACACTAGTGACCTTGCCAGACCGCCATATCTCTCTCACGTTACATAACTTTCTCGGCAGCCTGCAAAGGATCTGTATTGCGTGACGCCGAAGACTTGGCAATGCTGTCGACTCTGGCAGCAGCCTCACATTTCGAAGATTGGAGATGGTGGCGTGAACACGGGCAATGCCGTGATTACTCGGCGCTCGAGGCTGGTACTTTGTTGAGATCTTGGGGTTCTATATTGACCCCAAGCTGGGCCCCGAGGAGCCCGGCTCTTTCACAGCCCATCTCGAGTCTCTACAGACCAGTTTCTCAATTTTGCTCCCAATACCAAGAAGTTCTGTAGCGAATGTCTTCTTTCCAGGCATCCAAGATGAAGTCCGAAACTTTTAACTTCCTCCCCCTCTTGCCTGTCGACAGAGCCTCCTGCCCAGCAGTACGTTGCCTCATTCAGATTTGTCATAGCAAATGACTCTCAACTGCTAAAGTTCCCTCTTCAAAGGCTGTCACAGTCAACTTTACCTCGAGAATCAACCCAGTCAGTCCTACCGAAACGAAAGATGCAAATAGTAAGGCCCAGCTATAGCTATATCGCCAACGATGGGGATGTGATGAAGCTAACATGTAGCAGTGAGCAGGAATCTTGAGATGGAAATCAAGCGACTCCAGGATGAGATAAAGAGGTTACAAGAGGATTTGAGGAGTTTGAAGGGTACATCTTGAGGATCTTGGATACTTGATGATCGGCTTTCATCACCTGTACGTGCCTGTGGCATCGGATTTGAGGTTTTCGGTTGAGCTAGCGGTAGAAATTCCTCTGGGCATGTATCGGAATATCATATGCGCGAGGATAGCAAACAACACTCGAGCTTTGTTTCACTTCTCCTTAGAACGGTTTGTGAGGTAATCCGGCATTGCCGGCCAACGACGACCACATCAATAGATGTCTCCACTTTGCATATGGCAGCCTGGTCTCCTCCCGATCCCTCTCGAGTCAAGTCACACAAATCACAGCGATGAGTGGGAACTATTCTGCGGTGAGAGACATTTCATATCAGGTGTCGATTGTTGGATACGCTGTCACCACAGTTTGGTGGGCGCCGAGTAGCTCCACCGTGGACTTGCTCGTGGCCATCAAACTTCTCGTACCATTTATTGCCAAGACACTGAACGTTCCATCGCATCATTCGGAAGTCAGTATCTTGCTTCAAGCGAAGATTACTACATTTTACGCGGTTTATAAAAGGGTTGAGATCCCCTTCATTGGCGTAGCTTGCTTACTCATACCTGCTAATAGAAGTGCAAGATCTCTACTAGCCATAGCCATAGCGAACCTCATGGAGAGGTGCCTCTTCACAAACTCTCCGAGCAGATCTGGTCTCGGCTCAAGCCCACCCAATCCCACGAAGACTTTCCTGCCATCAACACTGGCTTTGTCTGCGGCTGTTACGATCTTTGCGACTGTAAAATGAAACAGGCTGGTATCGTATCGTCCTGGAATTTCGAGTCTGAAGTTTGTGTCAGCTGGAGAATATTTCAAGATAGACTTGAAAGACAGCTATATAATAGGGAGATCAACTGACTCCATACATAGATCTGCGCACCCGATTAATAGCACTTCGGTTCTAGGAACTGCTGCAATCGCTGTACGAGTTGTGTCAGCGAAAATGTCGACAGTGGCATTCGCTTCACTTGTGTTGTGCATGATTAAGCGAGGCGAGAAGGGACTACTTACTCCATGTCTCAACACCCTCTTTCGTCTCGATCATTGGTATATAATCGTCACTTCAGCTTTCAAAACTTCAGTAAATGCGCCATATGAGAGCGACGTCGTGGATTGTGTCATGGCCGTTACAACTGTCACGGATCGATGGCCATGTTGTCAGATTAGTGATTCAGATTACTGCTCAAGACGAAGCTGTCCGTAACACGAGTTGCAGTCAATTCAGGGCGCCGTGACATCGAGATAATTAAATCTTTTGTGGCTTCTCTAAATGGCGCAGGTTTTGACGGGTCTGCTCCCCAGAGCTTTCTCGTCTCTGCGGTCAAGCGCTTTGAACACAGCATTAGTAAATCAATCATACAAGTAGATGCCACATCTTCTCAGACGAATATGAAGCTAGTTAGCTCAGAAGCGTCAAGCAGGATACGGTTCCATCACCATTTAGAATCATTTGAGCTAACAATCCCACAGGCCAAAGAATCCAGGATGGCTATACAACGACGAACAGAGAATCCAAGTGCGCATCCACGGCAATAAATTTCAGAACTTCAAAGGCGAGCTTGACGACCAGTTTCCCACAGGGTAAATTTTGCTTGATTCTATACACACTCAATGGCCCACTGTACTATGAAGGCGAGTTTACTGGTACAATTGGCAGGGGTGGAGTTAAGTATAGTGGAAATCATCGGTGCTACTGTTGTTGGAGCAGCTAGCGTGAGAGATTCCACAATTTAGGGAAAGACTCGTGGTCTCCATATTTTAGACGAATAGGGACCAAGTTGTGTCATGATGACAACTCGCTTCTTCCGTTGTGGTATTGACCTCTTCTAAATACGATGGATATCACGTATTATTCTGCAGCCAAGCCCAGTGCAGCGCCGTGCTCGTCAAGTTAGCTTAGTTTCGCTCATATACCCCATCTAATCATTGTTTTATACTACACATTGTTCGGAAGTGAGTGGCTTCGAATCACATCCAGTTTAAGATAGCCAGAACTTTGAGAGTGAGCTGAACGTCAAGTTTGGGCTTGGTGTTATAATGAAGGGAAAGGCCCAGCAGAAAAGTGGCATTGTGCTTCATGCATTGGCTCGGTTTGCTGGTCCTTCCCGTGCCCATGCTCATTGCCGCAAAATTTTTACTTTTACTAGTTCTAATAATAAGCTGAATAAGCACAAATTTTTCATCGTTCACAAAACTACCCTGCCCGGGTAGCTCAATCGGTAGAGCGTGTGGCTCTTATGAAATCGTTCATTAGAACACCTCAAGGTCGTGGGTTCGAGCCCCACCTCGGGCTCAATTCCCGAGGTTTCCATCACTGGAAGCTTCTTCAGCTTTTGTAATTTTCTCCCTCTATCATGCTGCGAGAAATTTACAAGTTTTGGCTACAGGAGGTGTCAGATTTGTAAACATATGTGCGTGCGGTTGCAAACGACTTGAAAGTCCCCATCTACTGTGATTCTCTAAAAAGCGAGTATCTTTTTACTCGCAGGGCTCTGTTATGTGAGGGGAGGTGTTTATTTTTTTTGGTACATGTTCGGCTCCCGGCTGATGATGAATGTCCACAGCGCTACTTGCTCGTTGTTTGCTCCTAAGCGACGCTCCCTATTTTCCCTACTTCTTCAATTGCACGAAAACAAATTTACTTCCTCAATGCAATCGCGCAATTAAGGGAAGGGTCGCCTCATAAGAAATTAGCAGTTAGCAGCAATCAGGACTTTTTCACACCACAATCTCCCCTGGAACATTGAATCGACCACCTGACGACCTTGATATTCATCAGCCATGTTTATGTCTGTTGCAGATTTAAGTACGGAATTTCACTTGTCTGACTCTTCTCAATTGCATCATTGCTTGATTGCAGCGGATTTCTCAGAAAGGCTGCTGCCCCTCATGAGATATCAAGCCAAGTCGTCTTTACGGGTGGTATTTTGCATGTATTACAGCTGATCTCCAAGACGATAGCGGAGGCGGGCTGGCGGGGTAAATATCTTGACTGCTGGAGAACCCACTGTTAGTAGATTTGATGTTACCTTCGCGAAAATGCGCTGTCTACAACCTATCTGAGAGCCGAAGCCTATCGAAGCCAATCGAGAGCTTCGTCTTATGAGCCGAATCTCTCTCTCCTTTGGCTCGTGGAACACAACATAAGACTCAGGTCAGGTACAGTTCAGCCCAGCGGCCAATGGTAGGGTAAGGTAAACTAGTGATGTAAACAGTACAATACAATCCGACCTCCAATGGCCGAGGATCGGAGCATCGGCGCTCGCTTATGCAATGTACGCTTATCTTCGGCCTATCGCTATCGATAGGAGATCTAGGAGCTCGGAATGTGTGGATTTCCTTACCACAAAGGGCTGTCTATGACTACAAACAAGCATCGAATGACAGCAGATATCCTTCCTTTTAGCTTCATTCTTGTTGCTTGTTTCCACTCACTCGCTCACAAGCCCTGTTCATGCCGTGTGCTCTTGGCTTGCAGAATAGCGGACTCCGATTGTACAGATACATTCGCGCCCTGGACTTGACACCTGCTTGACAGACATCCATTATTGAATAGTGCGACTCCACATTCCCTCATAAGTCTCAATTTCTTTGATACTTCCGTTCTATCTCTCCTGCATATTCATACTCATTCTCTCACTCCAACATGGCCCCGCCATCTGCAATTACGAATGGATTCGAATCCGAGGCCATCACTGATACAGAGGCAATCGTCCTCCCTAACCCGTTGACAGTCAAAGCCGTTGCCGCAAGACGTATCAAAGCAGGCAGACTAGTCGCAAAGACTGCTGCTCCAACAAGCAGTGACCTATTCAAAACTCCTGTTTGTTACAACTCCCTCATTGAATGGCAATGGCTAATCCCTTCAGAACACTGGAAAGCCTAAAGCGAAACGATGGGACCGTTCGTCACCCTGTCCAACCCTCTCCTGGTCACTATTAATTTTTCGCAGACTACCTCAGCGTTGAAGCCAAAGCAAGGCAACCCTCCAGCTTGAAAGGAGCAGCAAAATATCTCAGTAAACCAGGCTTGATCACCCTCGGTGGCGGCCTTCCGCTGGCAGAGAACTTCCCTATCGAAGAAATCAATGTCAAAGTCCCAACCGTCCCCCACTTTTCCGAAGCCGAAACGAAACAAAATGGCACAATACTGAAGGCTGGGAAATATGATGTTACCGAAACGGATAATGGCGTATATGATCTGTCTATCGCGTTGAATTATGCCCTGGGTACGGGTTCGGCACAGATGATCCGTTTTGTTACTGAACACACGGAAATTGTGTGCAACCCAGCATATGCAGATTGGCAATGCGCTCTTAGTGTCGGTAGCACATCTGCGCTGGATATTGCCCTACGAATGTTCTGCGAAAGAGGAGACTTTATCTTGTCAGAAGATTATGCGTTTGCGTCTGCAGTCGAGACAGCTGCTGCGTTGGGAGTTGGCTTTATTGGTGTAGCTATGGATGCTGAAGGCCTCCTGCCCAAAAGTTTGGACGACATTCTGTCCAACTGGGACGAGAAAGCAAGAGGAGCCCGCAAGCCATTTGTCCTATACATCGTCCCCTCTGGTCAAAATCCCACGGGAGCCACCCAGTCATTTACTCGTCGAAGAGAGATCTACAAGATCGCCCAAAAGCATGACCTCTATATTTTCGAAGATGAACCATACTACTTCCTCCAAATGCAGCCATATACTGGACCTGACTCTCCAGATGTGCCTCCACCAGCTAACAACGAGGAATTTCTCAAATCTCTCGTTCCAACCTACCTCAGCATGGATGTCGATGGACGAGTCATGCGAATGGACAGCTTCTCCAAGGTCATTGCACCAGGTACACGAGTTGGATGGGTCACCGCTTCTGAGCAAGTCATCGAACGATTTACACGTGCCAACGAATGCTCTGTCCAGAACCCTAGCGGAATCTCCCAGATGGTCTTGTTTAAGTTGTTGGATGAGCACTGGGGCCACGATGGCTATTTCAAGTGGCTGATCAACCTCCGTATGGTGTACACGAGGCGAAGAGACGTCATTCTCGCCGCTTGTGAGAAGAATCTGCCAAAGGAAGTGGTTTCATGGAATCCTCCCGCCGCAGGCATGTTTGTAAGTCACGCCTCCTGTCACTCCCCCTTGACCCAAACTGATAAGCCTAGCTCTGGCTCAAGGTCGATTGGCATCTACATCCACACGCCAAATCGAAAACTCTTTCAGAAATTGAAGAAGAAATCTTTCTCGCAGCAGTTGACAAAGGTGTACTAGTCAGCAAGGGCAGCTGGTTCGTTGCCGAGCGTGCTGGCTTTGTCCAGACAGAGATGTTCTTCAGAGCAACGTTCGCAGCTGCTGCTGAGGATAAGATGACCGAAGCTATTGAGAGATTCGGTGCTGCTGTTCGGGCTTGCTTCGGCGTTAAATAAATGGTCGCTACTGGGGATTGGCGGGCGAAAATGGCGTTGGATATCTGGCGTTAGACTTCTTGCGCACTTAGAGAGAAATAGACCAAGAATGCATGTGGCTTGTCTACAATGGCGAACACGTCTGCATGAACGGTATACCTCCATTACAATGAAGCCTTGACCACTTGAAGAAAAAGTCGAGTTGAACAGTCCGTCATCGGATCTGGATACTTTCCAGCGAGTTCAAATATTTGTTGTCCTTCTGAAGCCTCCCCTGACTGTCCTGTCAGAGATAGTTGGTGCTCAACAGTCCATCGATATCGCATGAGTAGGAGTGAGTCTCACGTTGGTCAGGTGAAATTATGGGCGCGTGACCTTGGGCTTTTACAATATGTGGTAAAAATGTCTCCTCATTTGCTGTGTATATTTCACCTCATCGAAAAACCGTTCCAGGTGAAACATTGAGAAAATCTAATCTTCAAAACGCAATTGTGCTAACGGTGCGATGCGCTGTTGCATCGTACTAGCAATACTTCACTCTGTCATTTCACCGGGTCTGCTTCTGCTTCCCTCTTTCTCATGGAAAGCTCTGATGTTGCAGTTTCTGTGACTCACTAGCGATACCAATATCATGGTACTCAATCTGTTCATTGGATGCTTGGCCCTACTAAGGCATTTTTCCCTCTAAAGTAGTCATGTGTAGGGAACCGCTATGATTTCGATGCACTTGGAAGAGTCATTCTTCACCTGATGTCTGCAATCGTACCGAGCACTGTAAGCCATTCACCTAATTTCACGATTCACACAGAAATTTGAACAGATGAGATCTAGCTGAGCGAAAAGTTATATCACGCTGCGCTCTAGACCTCACTCGCTCCTCAGGGACCAATGACAAATCGCCGAAGCTTCGCGAAGAAGCTTAAGCGATTCAGATTAATCTGCAAAGTTACTTGAAAAAAGGGAGCTTTGCTTCAAGGAAAGCTTGTGCCTCACAATCACAGTATTTACTAGTCCTGACATGGCGATGAGCGAAAGATACCCGTGAGCCTCAGGATCTCAGCTCTCACAGATTTCCGCGCAGCGGGAGCGCCTCTTTCAACTCACTCCAGTTTCTCTGAAATAACAAAGATCATTATCTGAAATATTGACAGTCTGCGCTACTTGGAGTTGTTGCGCGGAAGAAGCAACTTGCCCTGGCAAGTGAACACACAACATTGTCACTGCTGGATTGATGGTCGGGTGAATTGGTCCCTAGAGAGACCTGGCTCCCTGAGAAGGTATGTGAATGTATGATCTTCAAGGTCCCTGATTATTTTGAATTATCGAAGGGGAGTTGGCACATTCTTTGTCCAGTCGTGCGCGCTGTGCCTGCTGCGGTAGCTGGTAGTCTGGCAGGCGAACGTATGAAAGCTGGAAAGCTGTCGACTGTTCGTCTCCGAGGTTCCTCATGCCGAACATACTGTAATTACTCAGTGAGGATGTTGTACGCCCACCAGAGTTGAAACTTCATTGTCGTCAGTCCATTTGCTGTCATTTTGCGACACTATTGTCAAAATTCTGGGCTGTCTCGCTTAAATTTCCAATGTTTCGTTATCCACCACAAACAGATTGTCCTTGCGTGTCAAGTGCTGAGGGAATCGCTTGATCAACCATGGATCCCAAAGAAAACACTGCTTTAGTTACATCATCATAGATCAATGGTTTGCCAATTGCTTTCTGGGATTTATTTTCTGACTGCATCGTTTTCGGCGTCAATGGCCCAGCACCCTTTCAGGTCCTTGAAAAAAAAAATGTTTCAGGGGCCTAAGCGAACTCGAATTGAACCAAGCCAAGCAAACCGTATTATTCGCCCGCAAAAATACGCAGATATAAACTCAGCCCAAATGGGGTGCATAGAAGATAG